AAAAAAATCAGAAAGTTGTACATGTGTTAATATCACGTAACTATAATAATTTGATATAATACCTTCAGATAAACATGGACTGTTTTCAAGTTTTACGTCAGCAGCGATGTTTGATGTGTTGTAGCCATGTACATTAGATCTAGATAAAAAAAAATCAGAAAGTTGTACATGTGTTAATATCACGTAACTATAATAATTTGATATAATACCTTCCGATGAACATGGACTGTTTTCAAGTTTTACTTCAGCAGCGATGTTTGAAGGTGTTGTAGCCATGTACATTAGATCTAGATAAAAAAAAATCAGAAAGTTGTACATGTGTTAATATCACGTAACTATAATAATTTGATATAATACCTTCAGATGAACATGGACTGTTTTCAAGTTTTACTTCAGCAGCGATGTTTGAAGGTGTTGTAGCCATGTCAAAGTCTAAAGAAATATTTCCAAATATTTTCTTGTAATAGATTCCAGTGCTGTGCTTTAACCACTGAGCTAATGAGTTGCACATATATATTATATTTCTACTCGACGTATCCATCATTCATCAACTAAAACTGACATTTGAAGTCCCATCGCGTGAGATGCACAAAAAACATTTGGATATAAACGGTTTAACGCTGCACCGGAATCGTAGGGTGCATATTCAAGTCCTGTCGGAGGACATAGTGTTGTATTTTCGTATCCGTTCCTGGTTAGGTCTAAAATTGTATATAATATATTATTATTCCACTCGATTTATCAATCAAGCAAAACCAATATTTAGTACCGTAGTAACTGTCATTGATTGGCAGTACCAGTTCGAACGTTCATTGTAGAAGAGTAATATAATTTTCCATTACTCATTAGACTGAGTAAATACTGAATAGTAAATTAGTAACTGAATTAGTAAATACTATACAAATAATAATTATTATTCAGTATTTTTGCACAAGTGAACATAACAAATCCTACAACCTGATTGGTCAAATTTAACGTATTAAGCTGTTATATTCACCTACAGGTGAATATAACAAAACCGAAATTTTTAAAATGGCGGCCAGTCCTTTTGTGGACGTAATACTGATAAAGAAATAAGCGAAATTAAAATAAATTCAGTCCCAAAAAAACTCAAAAATACTAAAACAATTATTCGCCTCAGGCTCGGTGATTATCGGGGAATATTCACCTCGACTTCGTCTCGGCGAATATTCCCCGATAATCACCTCGCTTTCGGCGAATAATTGTTAATTATTATACCAAACAGGCAAAACTGGGCACTAACCCGTAATATTAACTCTATAGGTAGTGTTAGCACTGGGCCTAAATTATTTGGGGTTAGTATTAAGGTACTAGGGTAAGAGGGATCAGGGATGGAGTATACTTGCATGTCTTTTTTTTTCGAGCTTAGGTAGCATCGGTAATATAGTAACCCTCATTTACCCTCAACATCAATTTAATAGGGGTCTGTAATATCTTCGTTCTTGTTGGAGACCTTTTGTCATGATTTTTAGATTGTTTTTCAAGATACACATTTTCTCTCAAAAGTATAAATGTGATCATTTGTATAATATGTTCAATAATGTATTTTCGATATTCTTTCGTTCTATGTGCATTATGTTGGAAATAGACGTGACCGATTATTATCTTTTACCCAATGGCCTCGATTCCATGTTAACTAATTTTAGCATGTTAGGGCCAGATAAAGATTACATTCCCATGTTTTTCCTGGACGAATTTGTTTCTTGCTGTTCTACTAAGCACAAAACATGAATAAGTATTTGACACCACTCTCCTCCGCAGAGGCTTTTTTGTTTTCTTTGTATATATTAAAGTTTGACTTGCGGGCAGTAGCGGGCTAGGCAGAGAAGTGGGCACGCGGGGGGAGCTTGGTTGTGTGATTCCCTATTATCTCCAAATGTCCACGATGCCCCCTTTTAACCCCGCGCGCTTGCTCCGCCCGCGTGCCCACTTCTCTACCTAGCCCGCTACTGCCCGCAAACTCTATAGTCAAACTTCAGTTACTAGTATATAGAACGAAAACAAACTACAATATAGAAAGAAAACAAACTACAAAGATCTACAAAGCCTCTGCGGAGGAGAGTGATTTGACACGAAAACGCGGCCATCGGGTGGAAATATAAACGTTAAGGTCTATTGGCGTCTTATTAAGATACATGTACGCTTGGCGAACCTATATTTGATGTCAAACAATTGTATAACGTTATATCACGTCATATTCACGTGTCTGTGACGTTGGGAAAATCACATTCCAGAACAAACTGTCAAACACGTTTGCTGCTAGAACAGCCACAGTACACTTATTTTTTTAATGGAGATAGAGCGGTTATATTTTGAGAAAAATACTTCATTTTTCCTCTTTGCGAGTGAATGTGGGATATCTTGAGTTTTTCTACACTTGATGGGACGTGAGAAAATTGAAGTCTAAGGTGTCTTAAGGTATGCTCTTTTTATACAAATTATATTTTGCTTTGCCTTTTCGTGCTTCCGTTGTCTTTTCTGTTGTTTCTTGTTTAATTATAAAACATTTCGAAAATGATATCACAGCAATCTTTTAAACTGATCTGTATGTTTGGAAAAGTTATGTGGTTTTGTAGAACATTCTTTGAACTTTTGATATAATTTTTGGTACTTTCTATTGAATCGGAATATCATTTTTTGTATCTGAAACGTCGACACGTAAAAATGATTTAAAACATGCGATTTACTATTAAATTTGTATGGCCAATTCTAGACTAAACAATATAATATAACAGCTACAATATCAGCGATTAAGAACAACCATCATATTTCCCAACAATATCTATTTATAACGGAAAGCTTTTCGCTTACTATTATATTATTAATCACGTTTTTCTTTAAAACGCACTGGCATATGGGCTTTTTGAGAGATCTTGTGTATTTATAAAGGAACATTTGGTATTACCTATTCGTAAACTACATGTAACTACATGTAAATCTGCAGAACGTTTATAGATCATTATTTTTATACGTTTACGTTAAATTTTTGATTTATGTGACTCCTATTATTTAACCACATTCAATTGAAATTAAGATTGGGATTCGGCAAATCACTCCTAAAAAGTGTAGGGGATCAAATGTGATTTTCCTTACTATTTAGATATACTTGAGTATATTTTAATTGGGTTTATATTTATCAATGAAATATATTTACTTACTCGAAATTTGTTTTATGTTGATCAGTGTGGCCATATGGACATTTATTTTGTGATCTGCAGTGCTCGATTCAACATCAAATCAAAATGACAACAGGAAAAATTAGGATTGCAACCTGAAGATGTACTTCTACTGCAATCATCGTAGAAAAAGCAATCATATTTACAAAATATATTAATTTTATGACTCGTTTTTAAAAATAATTAACTCATTCTGTGCCAGGCCGAACTTTTTTTTACATCATGAAATCTAGTTCAAAGCTAGGCCTATAGGTCAGGCTGTAGGAACGTATATATAGTGTAAAAACGGCTTAAAATTTATATAATAATTATAAAATAAGGAAGGTATTTATATATAAATGTTGTGTTTTTTAATTATATAAAGTTTCATATCATTTTTAATGACATACCCGTAAATGCCGTAATATATTCCAGTTTTCGCTTAACACCAGATACGGACTGAGTCTGGAAAATGGATGGCACTGCGTTTTCGTCCAAACGGTTTTTCTTGAAATTCGCAAAACAATCACTCTCAAAATGTACGCCACATATTCTACAATTGTTGTGTAAATATTGTACGCTTTTGTTCTTTAAGTCGTGTCTTCCCGTTGCGATAACCCATGATTTGGACCTGTGCAGGGCATTTAAAAACATTTCAATTAATAACTCTTTTAAGAGAAATGCTTTTTCCCTTTAGCTGTATTAGATAAAAAATCACAATTTCAATACCTTGTAGGATCCGTCGGAAAACGAAAAAAAGCCAAGTTTTGCGACGTTTTTTTGCTATTATTGCATTTTACAGCAGAGCACCAGCTGGATCCTGGAGTTCTTTGTCTTTTCTTTTCCAAAAGGGACCTTTGGGCCATCTTTTTAGCAAACTTTTTAGTGTATCCGAGACCGTGCGCAAATATGTAAATTTAATATGTAAATTGCTATGGGAACAGCTAGTGATGATGGCAAGTGATGGCGTAATTGCTCGCGTTTGATGGCGTCGTGATTACACTTGCTGGCTCGCGCCTGCGCATAAAAAATCTCGGACACAATTTTGGCTGAGTGAGGCTTCTGGTCTTATTTTCTATTCTGTGGTCGTCATACAGTCGACAGTCGTTATAATGCAAACTTTAAATTGGACCCAGAGGAGGAATGAGGGTCTTCCCACAATGCATTGCGTCTCATTATTATTCACAATTACGATTTTCAACGAGCGTTTGGCGAAAAGTTGTTGAAATACATTGCGATTTTGGCTTCGTATATCTCGTTTTTTCGAAGGTATGTTTTCATATTTGTATTATTTAAGAACCTAATTAAACTATTTTTGACTTATTTGGTACAGGAATTGCTTTTTAGTTATGCTAATTACGTATTGTAATTATGCTTGTTCCGGGTCAGTGGACACGCCAATAAAACGACCTTGATATAATGCAGAAGCAAATTCACTTTTTTTTTAGGAAAATAAAAACAAAACACGTCATCGAATTCGGGAAGATTTATTCCTTCTACTGTTACTTTAAAACATGAATTTGCTCCACTAAACCGACGTGTAATCGCGGTTTGAAAATGGGGTACTTTTGCTATATTGTATTGCCGATGGCGGGAATAGACCGCCTGATAATCATCATGGCGCGAAGGAAATTATTGTACTATAAACACTATTTTCCATGATAATTTTGCAACATACGCATATATGTTCGTACATATTTCCCCCAGGGAAACCTAATAATAAAAGACACAGAATTTCTCGTTTGAAAAATTCAACATCAAGCCGAACTTTGTTTCAGAGTCCAAAGCCAAGGTGTATTTAAAAGTACAAATGTTTTTACAAACATATTAAAAATACAGTATGATTACACAAAAACATTGTATATTTTTAATGAAACAATATGTTGATAATGGGGGCTTGAGTTATTATCATAGTGACAGTAACATTGTATTTTAATGCTTTTTTGCCTGGGAGAATTTCTGTCCATAGGCATATGAGACTTGGGGGGGGGGGTTGCAACCCCTCCAGTCGGTGTTTAGTTGGGCCGAATTCTGCTTTAAAAATTGGGCAATTGTTTTAAGATTGACTTTAAACAGTATTTCTGCTAGTCTGTATAGGAGATGTATTCCTTCTATTTTATACCTCTTGTTCACAAACTCATGACAATGTTGGGCAATTTCTATCCACCCGTACGCCAACATTATTTTTCAATGCTGGGCATTCCAGAAAACCTATAGTACACAAAATTCCTGGAGAAGCATGCACACAATCCTAGTAAAAATCCATGAGTTTCTTTGTTGTTGTCTAATTGTGCTGGCACTAACATTGCCCCTCTCACTTTTGCTGTTTGTTTTGTAGTTTCTTATCAGAAAGGTTAAACGACTCCTCCAAAGAAATTCCCAGTTAAACTTCATAAATGGACATTTGAGGAAGATAAAGCATTCATTGAATTCATATCTGTTGCAGAAAATCATGCAAATCATTACGATTGAAGAGGTTTACCAATTATGTAATACCTCTAGATTGTTAATACATCATTAAGCTAGAGCAAAAGCATCACCTTTCATATACTTTATCATATAGCATCCATGTGTACTGGTGAAATGAATGTGTGCAATATTTTAAAATTGTGTGCATATAATTTTATTTTTAAAAACATTTTAATTATCTTTAAGTACAGCAATATTATGTTAATATTTTTTCGATTTTAAAATAAACAAATTTTATCAACATCAATTATGTAGTGTGTAATGTTTTTATTAATTTGTGATGAGCAAGGGAAGACTATACACTGAAAATCATGAAAACCATACATACCATAAACCTCTGAATATAAGCCCCCCGTGTATAAGCCCCCCCCTCCCCCCCTCATGTAAGCCCAGTGCTTTTAGGTGGAGGTTTATGGTAGATAGTCAAAAAACTGCAGAACTCATAAGATGGTGTCCATGGGATACAATACTTATGGTATAATCAGGGAAGTGACAAAAACACATGCAGTACAGGAAAACTGGGGTAGGGCCAAGACTGTACCATTAGAAGCTCCCCAGCTCTATCCTTACAAATAAAAGAAATATCAGTATTACACCAGATACCAACAAACAATTTTTCAGCTTCTGTTAAACATTTTCTTTCAATGTTTTTTAACCCATTGAGTGTCAGCACTCCCCCTGATGAGTAAATAGTCTAGTGTTAGACAGTAAAATAATCTGGCGTTAGGCAGAGTAAAATAATAGATAACTGGTTGATCATTTGAGCATAGATAACTGGTTGATCAGTATAAATCCTTGCAATGCATCACACAGTAGTCAATACATTTATATATAGTGTTGCGATAGTGGTGAATTTCCTCCATTTCATTCTTTACAACAATGCTACCACTGGGCGCTTCTTCCATCATTCGGTGTGTATGAATGTCTGTCAGGGCAAACAGGGTTTATTGGTAAATTAAAACAGTTATACAATCAGTTGGCTGATGTAATTCTATTGGTGGAAATACACTATCTAGCTCATCATCTTGACTATCTGGGTCACATGGTGGGATTGCTTGGGATGTTGGTGATGTTGAAATGTCAAACTCCCACAACATAACATTGCTATATTCTTTGTTTATACCTCCTTCCCGTAGATCATTAGGGTCGAAGAACTACATGATATGAAATAAAAATACGTTTAATACTGCTGTATTTATACAACACAGGAGCATTTTTATATTTCTATTTATATATAAAAATCATGTCACCTTAAAAACACAACTAGAGTGAATTTGTACCAGTGGAGGACTACCGCAATCAGCGAACATTTCATCAATTTTTATCCCGTTAACCACAGCTGGACAAAGGACTATTCTTCGAACTATCGATCTGTATTAAAAACTATAAACATGAACCTGACGTCCTCACGACATTCAAGTTCATCACACGGTATATAATTCTTCCGGAATCAAGATTAAAGGCTGTTTTGACACACAGTGAACACACAGAAGCTCGTGTCCACCCAAAAACGAAGCTTTCTTGCCATGCATAGTGCAAAAATCCACCATTTTACAATTTTTTTTCGATAAATCTTTTCTGAATCTTTTGAAACCTCAAGGTGTAAACACAGCGAAAGCCGACCGAACAATGACGGCGCAGAGCGAGAAATCGATAATATGTAAAAAACCGCGCCTGACCGCGTTGCATGGCGGTATAGTCCTCACTCCTCCTCTGATTGCAGGTTAAAATTACTTCAAATGTAACGAGTACACAGTAACGCTTTACAATTGTAACGAGTATTTACAGCCCTGGGAGTCGGACCTGCGGCCCTGCGATTTCGGTGCTGAGCTACAGAGGCCAGTTGTCGAGTTCTAATCACAAGTTCATGTATATATACAACAAAAAACAATGTAATGTTGCCGTTCTTCCCAAACGACTAAAAATACAATAACATGAAAACAGTACAATAGCTTTATTTTTTGGATTCGTCCGGCCGAGTTAACAACATTGCAAAAACTGTACTCAGTCTAAACATAACCTGAAATTCAGGCCCTAATTTTAAATAGGGCCTGACACAAAACCTGTCAAGACCGTGGGACGCACACATGTTATTTTTAGACACAGTCATGCAATATATGATTGACAAGTGTTGTAGATTTTATTGCAGAAAAAATTTGTATCAAGGTACTTTTATTATCAAGGTACTTTTATATAATTAAGAGTGCAGTTTCTCTATTTAGCCGAACAGCAAACAAACATTTAATTAGTCAGTTCTGTGCACGGCTTGAATGCCAGGCTTTCTCAAGGTCTCAACTTGCTGGACGCGGATATACTTTAACTGGCTAACAACAGCAACAACGAAATTCTTTATCGTACCATGACGAAGGCGATGTAGCTCAGAAAACAACGCCGCCAGATCTTATAAATAAGACTTTTGCCGAAGCCAGTTGGCAGAACAGCAAAGACATCTTGGCTGTCAACAACAAGCTTTCGAATAGATTGACTAGTTTTGCTGTTCTTTCAGCGTCGTGTGTCCAAACGTCTTCAAAGATTTTGATAAAGTCCTTTCAAAATACTGTTTGTTTGATTTATTTTCTGCCATAAAGCATACTAAAAGAAAAGAAATTCGAAGAAATTCGATAATGGAATTTGATACATGCGTTTTACCTTTATAGTTGTCGCCTTGACCGAGCTATTTTTAAAACTATTGTTTATGTGAACTTGCAACCAATCAAAATCTTTCATGATGCTGATCAACCAATCAGATTTCCCGTCCACCAGATGGACGGGATTCCCACAGTTTAGACAGGTTTTGTATCAGGCCCTATTTAAAATTAGGGCCTGAACTTCAGGTTAGTCTAAACATGATTAAGTACATAGCCTACTAAAACAATGTATTTACGTTATAACAGGTAATGATGTCAACAAAAAAGCTCCAGGGTCATTTATTTTTTCTTTGAGAAATAAAGAAAATCTCCCGCCATTTAAAGCTCCACTGAAAAATCCAAATGATG